CAGTTTTGTTAAATCACAGATAATAATAAATGTAAAAAGTACTTTTACAGTTTTTCTGTATTTAAATCTAATAAATAAAAACTTATTGTTTAATAAATATTTTCTCTTTTTGCAGATTTTAAACATAAAAGAATTCCAACATTTTTTTTTTTTTTTGCAGAGTTTCACCGTTTTGCAGCTTTAACGTGTTTTTATTAAAATAACTCCAGGTTCTGGTTCCTACCAATGATCCACATCAACATCTAGAACCAGAACCTTGTCTGGTCCAGCTTCACCACATCAGGTTCTGCTGATGTTAGATGACCAGAGACTGGGTTCTAGTAGAACCATGGATCCATCCATAGACAGACTCTGACAGGAACCTTCTGGATCAGCACCAGCCTGGTTGGAGATTCTGATATTTCTTCTGTCTTCATGGACCTGTAACTGGACCGTGTCCTTCATGTCTGTGGAGGTTTTGTTCTGTAGATGTTGAGCCCAGATGAATGTCTCCTGAAGTGAACCTGGACCGACCGCGAGGTTTGGACTTTTATGTAAAGCAGCTGCAGCTCAAGCGGGTCAGTGGAGCAGCAGGAAGAACCATCAGAGGATCCAGTTCAAACAGGACGCTGACGGCCATCAGCTGTTCTCAGAACCTTTACGTCCAGACCGACTGAACACAAACTGAGATGTGGTCCAGCTGATGACTGATGGAAACGTTTCCCGTCTGAAGCTGAGGTCTGACCAGAACCACTGTGGAGGCTTCAGGACGACAGCAGCTCCTCCAGGTTCTGATTAACTCGGTTCATTTGACACTGAATCAGGAGATCAGAAGCTCTGGAGACGTCTGGCTGAACAGGAACATAAACTGACCTGGTTCTGGAGAAGAGACTCCATCAGCTGTGATGGGTCCATCTGAACCGTCTGGAGCTCAGGTGTGACCAGGTGATGTCCTACAGGTGAGCCAGGAACCGCCTCTCCTCAGCATGAAAACATCTCCACTAGAGGTCAAAGGTCACGTCTTATAAACCTCCTTCAAGTTCTGAAGGTGGGTTTCAGGTGTTGGATCAGTGGCCACGTTGGTGACGGAACATCTGACCTTCTGAAGGGTTCATAGAACGTGACCTCTGACCTCTAGTGGAGACATTTTGACTCTAAAACCTGACCAATCAGAGGAGAGACGGTTCCTGGCTCACCTGTAGGACATCACCTGGTCACACCTCAGTCAGCAGCACAGATCTAAACACGTTCTCCACAGTGGAGCTTTTAAATTATTTTATTTTTGAGCTCATAAATCTGATTTAAAGGCTTTGGAGCATCTACTAGTCACCTCGTCCTGTTTGTTCTGTTTTGTTTTTGTTTTTTAAAAATAAAAAGTTTATATGTTAGGCAGCTATAAGAAGCTAACTTTAGGCTATGCAGCTCCATGAACGAAGCTAACTATGTATTAGGCAGCTATGAAGGCAGCTATATTAAATATACTAACTATATGTTGTTCAGCTATCATTAGCTTCTTTCATGTAGCGACCTATAGGTTTGTTAGCAAGTTAGCTCGCTAAGATTTGTTCACATGAAAGCTTTTTTTAAATCCTACGCGCTGCAGGAAACAACAACTGTCATATTTTGCAGATTTTCGTCGCTGCGGCCTGAAAGCAGCTGATCGTTAAACACGTTTTATTTTGAAAAGATAAACTCGGATCTGATCATAAAGCTTCAGGAGTTCTGATCCAGCTGCTGGTGTTGTTCTGAAACCATTTGGTTTCCTTCACCGTCTCTCTGAGAACCTGAAGCTCTTGGTTCTGATCCAGCTGCTCGGCTGAATTAAAACGACCAGAACATCCAGACCGGTGTCCAGCGCCGGCTCTCTGGGTCGAAGGTTCTGCTGCTGGAACCTGCAGTTCCTGAGCAGAGTGTGATGATGGATGCTGAGCGTCCGTCCGTCCGTCGGCGCCGGTCCTCATCAGTCTAATGGACCTGGACCCGCCGTTTGCCAGAATCTCTCACTTTTACTGCAGCTTCGCGCTCGGCGGCGTCCGGCTGCCAGCGGCTCGTCCACGGTCCGGACGCCGCTGATGGAGGATGCTGCCGTTGCCATGGAGACGCTGCTGATTGATGTAGATCAGTGTGTTGATGCTGGAGCAGCTGTTTCACAATAAAACATCATCAGAGCTCAGTCCTGGACCAAGACAGAAGTCTGTAGAACTCTGTCAGAACTTCTCTCTGCTCCGACTCTTTACTTCATGTTTATGACTTTTTATCTCCCGTTACAGTTTTTATTCCTCGATGCTGAAGCACGTCGAACATGTTTTATGTCTTTTATCATTCTGACCTTTCATCTTATAATTTC